GTATACTGGGTGTTGAATGTACATACGTAGTTATGTGTATTTAAGCGCAATTTGTTATAATATTTTTTTTCCAAATTTTGTACATTCGTTAAGGGATACAATTAATAAAATAAAAGTTAAAGTTAGTTTGCGTAACTAACGTTTAGTGTCAATGCCCTTACGCACCTATGTATGATCACGTGACGTGCCTAAAAAGATGCCTTTAAATAAAGTACTTTATCTTGAATCAGTCTAGAAAACTTTATAATTGAGCTTGTTGTTTCTGCGGGCGATATTTACCCGTAACAGCTCACTAGATAGTCGCAAGCTACAGTATCGCATACCGATGCGATGTATTGAGCAGTCTACCGAATTCATCACACCCAATTACACACAACCCTGTGATCACTAACTGTAAGACTTAGCAATCAAATGTCTATATTGGCACACACGCTTTATTTCTCCGAAAGACCACCTTTACCGATTGCAAGCCATGTCATGTTTTGCTTTTGGGAACCATTACGTGATAGATAGATGACTTTTTTCAAGTCAAGACAACTAAGAGAGTTCAATGGTTCCTTAACATTACAACAGAACTCAACTTTCTGATTTTTTTTATAATACATTCCTTTAACGTTTATTCATTTGCCAATTAGGCTCTGGGAATAATTTAAACCCATTTAAATTGTGTAAAACTAGATACATGCTCTGATTTAGTCTCTTTTATTAGTAACTCGTTTGGGAACATATATTATGTTGTGTCATTAGGACCTTCATGTCAGGTACTTAGTTTGAAGAGGCTAATATTGAAAACAGATACTAGACATGGCTCAGCTTATGAAAAGTATTACCTCGAAGACAAGGGCGACATCGAAAATTCTTTTTTGTTTTGGCTGGAGTTTTTTTTGAACCTGATGAATGTTTCTCTCGTTATATTAGAATAAAATTTCAACCAAAATTCTAAAACTTCGCAAGAAAAGAAAAATTACCGTTAAAACTTTATATTAAAAGTATCCGAAACGGTGTGATAATAAAACTGTATTCCTTTTTCAGTTAAGCTGCGGATTATTTCTGAGAAACGCATGATTCATCTAGGAGAAAGTTTATCGTCTTTCACAATTCGGTGTTTTAAAAATTAAAAATTTTAGTTTAAAACATTGCGTTCTTCATTTTTATGAACTCATTTTCGTATAAAACGTACATTACGAATTAGTGCATTAGCACCTGAATTTTGTATACCTATAACTTGACGATAAACCGAACTGTTACGAATTTTTCAAATACAAGATTTATTTTAGGAACGGCAAAACATATTTTGGTTTAATTTTAAACGTTCATACAAAATGTTTATATGAGTTAACTAATAAACATTGGTTTCATGAACGAGCACAGGCATCATAATTCAATTTTTCTTTAGTAATAAATCAGTACAATAGTCGAGCTCGCTGTGCCGGTTGTCCGAGGCTTAGAATTTAGTATAAGGTTTAGGGATACGTTCTTTGTAATAAAGGGTGAGAGTAAATATATATATATATATATATATATATATATGTATATAAATACCTATCCATATGATATATTTTTTTAATTTAAGGTTCATTCAATGTCAGAGAATCGAGTAACAAGGTTGGTAAAAAATATATGTATAAAATATTATCATAAAAAACAATCGTACTTTAGTCCCCTGACAATTCATGGTACGTCATTTCATTATTCTAAGAAAAAAAAATTGAAAGCAAGATGCTTCCAACTTTTGTTCAGTTTTGTCGGGATACGTACGGAAATTTTAATAGGGTGTAATACACAGATTCTTTCTTACACTAATTTACAACTGCAATTTGCCATCGTACGTTTTTCGGAGCAATTTCTCACATCAAGTGGAACAAATCAACGGCATAAATTATTGTAAGATAAATATGGTTTAATTTATTGCGATGTATTTTTTAGTATATCCATTTATACTGTGTTACATTATGTGTTACATTTCTAAATAGAATAATTATCATGGAGTATATAATATAGAGTAATTGGTTCCAGCCTGGTTGTTGTTATAAATTGAATTCAAATAATTTTCAAATGAGTAATTGAAACTCGTACAGATGTGATCGTTAAATATACGCATTAAACCACTAAAGGAAATGCATGCCCTCTTAAAGATTAAAGTAGAGATAGCGATAGTAATAATAATAAAATAATAAAAATAATAATAATAAAAGTAGAGATATTGATAGAAATTTATTTGGTCATATCTGAAATATATCTTGTAATAGTGGTTACCTTGTTAATATAGTTAAGCTTTGTCTCAGTTTGTATTTGATATGATCTTAGTTTATGATCATTAAGATAAGAATGAATAAATAAAGAAGTGATGAAAGATTTATGTGAGAAATTAAAAATTGTAGTAATAAATATACTGTGGTAGGGCCACGCAGCAGCCTCGGCTGTTGCACGAATGGGCAGGCCCGTCCGAGTAAGTACCACGACCTCACAGAAGACCAGCGTAAAGTGGAAGTATGACAAATACTTTCGTGTTTCGTCTGGTGAGTGAGGTATCCGGAGCCCAATTTTCAAAAGCTTGTCAACGCATCTGTAACCCTCGGGTGTGGCAGATGTCCATGGGCGGTGGTATTCACTTAACATCAGGTGAACCGTCTGCTCGTTTGACAACTACTCGCATAAAAAAAAGTAATAAATAGAAATTAATTAATAGTAAATTAATTTAATAATAATAAGATATTATTAATAATTAAATAATAATAAATTAGAAAACATTATTGAAGGCTAAAGCTGGATTTAAAAAGTTTGTGATTTTTACTGCTCTTAGGCTTAACCACGTGAACACCTTTTCTAAAGTTAAGGAATAAAGTTTTCCTTACTTTTATAGACTTAGAATACTACTAACTAAAAAAGGGAATATACACGTGTTATTGCATACATCCCATGAAATTATGCTATCTCATACGGTTTGGTCATGGAAAGGATAAAATAAATGAAGAAAGAATGGGGAGAATAATTTATGGTGCAGGTTTAAATGGATATCGGTAGACGACGCCATCGAAAGAAGTTTCCTGATATAATAATAAATATGCTGAGAGAGAACGGACTAAAAATAGTCGTAAAGGATGTACAAGGTTCATGACATATAATGTAACTAGCGCCCTGCCCCGGCTTCGCATGGGTGCAATGCTTAATTTTTATTTTCGACATCGCATCAGAAACCTCTAAAATTATCGGTGTTTCTCTACTATTTTATGCATGAATTTATATAAACTTTCCTCTTGAATCATTCTGCCTCTTAAAGAAAACTGCATCAAAATCCGTTGCGTAGTTTTAAAGATCTAAGCACATAATTATAGGGACAGACAGACAGCGGGACGACGTTTGTTATATACTATGTAGTGATTAGAAACTGGCAAAACGTATCTCTGTCCATTCCCCCGGGTGAAATTCTTGATTTTATGCACTTTAGTTATTTCTATTTTTGTAAAAAGAAGATGCGTTACATAAGAAACTCTTCTAATCGCATAATTAGGTGCCCCATCGTTTACTTTTATTATATACGCAATTAAGAATGTAAATGAGAAAAACTTTTGAACTTGTAGCCGTTGCAGACGGAATTAATGAACACTTCGCTGTAGCGTTTTGATACTATCATTTTGTTCTTTTTTAATTCAACTTTAACTAATTCAGGGAAATAACTATTCCAAAATGGCTTACAAAAAAAAGTGCGGTTTATAATGATACATTATTATATTTCTAATCGTGGCGTCCACATAGATGGTGTCATCTGTTAGGATATGTGTATATACCACTATGGTTTTATTGCTTAAGCGCACGCACTGAATTCTACCTGCACTTTTTCTCATTACCACTCATTATTCTTTCGGGCAATCGTTTTTCACGTACTACGAATCAGACAAAGTAAATATTGGTGAAATGTAATCCGAAATCATTGCTTATTTGCTCTTTTCTGTAGGTATACGACTGACGTCAAGTTACCGAAATAATGGATTGACGCGTCCTAAATAGGGCAGCACAATTTTTCGCGATCCCAATACAGCCCTCAATTCGACGGCTTTTATTGCCTGTAACATCGCCTAAGGTCGTGTCGGAGCTTTTACAATAAAATCAAATTAACATGTTTTACCTATGCCTTTGATCTGTCTTTTGCAAAACGAAAGGGGATTGTGTCGCTTCTGCCATTTTTCGCTGTCTGTGCAATTTTATCATTTTTTAAATTGTTTCATTTTCCCAGGGCAACCAAATTGTTTGCCAGGATGTACGCGTTTTATTTACTTTATAAATTAAATATTTTTATTAAGATATCCTATGTTGAATACCTGTGCTATGCTGAAAGACAGTAACGGAATATATACAAGTAATTTAAGAATTTAATAAGCCACGATCTAAAATCTGCATAACTGACTTGTAAAAAATTATATGCGTAAACAAAAAAATTCAAACAAATGTTAACATAATATTGCATCAACTATTCTCCGACGAAAAGCGTTCGTATAAGATCAGAAAATATTTTCCTTCTAGTCTTTTTACGGTTATTTCATTTATTTTCTTATTGCGACAACCACACACACACACATTTATATATACATATATAATCAATTTGGATCAATTATTTGACTATAGTACGATTTATTAAATATTAAGTCTTGTGCTATATCAAATAATATATTATTATAAATAATAATTTCGGTCCCTTTTCGTAGCATAATTTGTTAATATAGCGAGAAAAGTTGGAAGAAAAAGATTTTCATCTTTCTAATTCTGTCATCAACGCTCGTGTGATGAAAATGGAAAAGTTTATTATTTCTTTTACGCTAACAGAAAGTAATGCATTATGGTTGAAACGATTCTTAAATAAACCTAGCCACAGAGGGGTTCCCGTACAACATGGAATGTGTTACATACACTTTTGGTTTTCAATTTTTGCTCCCATGTGCTAACAAAAACTTATCCTGTTCATTATCTTTGTGTTTTGTTCACAGATTTGACAAAACAGCAACATGCCTATCATTCAATCCTGTTGCTGTTGGAGGAGCCTCCGTCGAGGATGTTATGCTTCGGCGATCTATACAATGGTAATATATAGGCATCTTCTTGAGGGCTGAGAAAATAAATGACTCTGATTATTTGATGAAGAATATTGTTTTAAGCTCGTATGAAAAGAATTGGACGATATGTACATAAAGTGCTAATTTTAAATTTATAATTCTAAAGCTTAGCTAAAACAGCTATAGTGATGTATATATAAATATATATATATATATATATATCAGTGTACTTCGGACGAACTTACACTCTCGCCTAGAAAGTATAAATCTCCAATCCTTCTCGTAACAATTTCAATTACTTTGAAGTAATTAGACTAAGCGGTCCGTTAAACAACAAAAGGGTGATAACGGATGTGACGTAAAAGATCAAATGGAAAAGCAGCTCCAATAACCGTCGATCTTCGCGAAAACCATTAATTAACGAACGAGCCTAATTGACACTTTGCTTGTGATACCTACCGACTGCTAGATGTGTGAAATTAAAATATTTCGTACAAAATTCATACATTCAAATTTAGTATTCTGTTTATACTCACTTTTCTGAGATTCCGTTAAAAGAGATCGTAATCACTTGCAAATTGCATCAGGTATGAATAAAAGATGTATTAATTCATATTTTAAGGAGCAATGTCAATGAAAGCTAGGAATTAAAATATTAATTTTTTTGGTGGGTTTCATTTTAAACGTTGCGTTCATTATGATTAATTGCTCTGCCGACATAAAAAAAATGTTTATAATACAAAAATTCTTTCCTCCCATTTATTTCTCGATGGTTTTCTCAAGAACGCAAATTATTTTCGATTTCGGCGCGACGCTTTGTCGTAAACGAAATTAGGATACGGCTCAACGGCAAACGATTTATGATAAACCTTTTTTTCTCTTCAGATTTATGTATCTGGGTCAATAAATTTGCACACCATTTCACGTTTTTCAAAGGTGTACCTGATACCAAATATTTAAAGCCACTAAGATATTTGTTACAATACCATTAAATGAAGTTCGTTGCTGGCATGATTTCGAAAACAACTAAAATAAATATAATTTTTAATGACAAATACATCTCTATTGTTTCTAACAGAAATAACCTTGTAAATTATAGGCGAGGGAGAATAATTAAAAGGGATACGACGAAATAATTTGTAATTGGATATTGAAAATAACAAAAATTCATCGAAATAATAATACCGTATTTACTTAAAAGATCAGTTTAAATAACGTTTTCAAATAGAGAAGGATCACTTCAGTATTGAAGATGTTAAAGTAGAAGGAAGAATAACCGGATGAAGTAGTATGGCGTTGGCGGCTATAATCGATCGCATATGGACCAAATTGACAACATATACCGAAAAGGGAAAACTAACATGTAGTCGGTAAATGTATGCGTAGAGTTTTGAGGAAAGAACAAAGAGTGTTGCGATGAAGTGAAGTTAAAATAGAGGCAGAAGGAGGATATATATTTATGAATTAATTATAACAAAAAAAAACATTTCGAAGATATGTGAAGTCCGGCAACCCACAGTGGGCCCATACCCACAGTGCCCAGCAGTGGGACATATATAGGCTGTTACTTTACTTACGTATTTACACAACTTAGAGTATACTATACATATCTTTTGCTGAGCCTAGGTACTTAACCAGTCCATCGCTAATTGAGTAACAGATGATTAACGTAGATTTAGTTCCAAAAATTTTGTACACAGTTAATTTATATCAACGTTATCTAGTGCATTGTTTCATATACCCTAGTACTTCGTGTCTTGGTAGGGGATCAATAGAGTTTATATCGATTAAACCATAGGTGAAATAAAAAAAGGGAATGTAGGCGCAGTTTTATTAGGGTTTTGCTCGCTTCTACCATAAATCTTCTGACTATGAACAAAGGTTTACTCATAAAGAATGGCAGAAAGCGTTAGACTCAGCCGTGTCACCGGTTTTCCAACCGGATAATAACAGTATTTATCAAACGTGTGTATTGATGATTGTATTCGTTTCCTTGTTTTTAAAATATAAATTTGTGGGCAAAATTAAAAGAAAGCACTTTATACTTTAGATAAGTGTAGTAAATAATTAGAACTATTTGTTCGAATCAAAAATCATTTTATCTGTTCTTCTTCTACTTCAATATCATAATACCTGAAAAAATATTTTGTTTCTTACACAAGTTTTAGATAAATGTTTACTTCAAAATGTTATTAACTCTAATACAGTATTCAAGACAGTAATAAAACATTTTCAACCGTTATCTTAATTTACCTTAAAGTCCCTTAATGTAAACAATTTTTAAAGTTCTTATGACCACTCATCAATTGTAAAAATAGCGATATCATCAATTTAAGGAGTATCTTCGTGAACTGTAATAATTCGATGCGATTCCATACCACAATGAGATAGATTCCACATATACATATAATTTGTGATTGAATTTCACGTATTGCAAAGCGTCTTATCAATTAACCACATATAGATGCGATAACAGTGCAAGGAATAAAAATTATATTTCCAAGTATAAATCAAGTACCTTCATAGATATGAAATAAAAGGTAAGATACTTTGATATTTAATAAGCCTGTTAATGCAAAAATCACTGATTAAAGTAAGACGCGGGCTTAACTTAGCTCCTCGAGGGCGATAATTTGGAACCAGTCTACAAATATCGTGCTAATGAAGTAATAATATTTAATAAATATTTTGTAGACTGAAATTATAATTAACAGTAGATTTGTAGTAGAATCAACACTATGGATAACTTGTTAATGTTGAAGACGAAACGTTAATTTTTCTTTTTTTTATTCCACTTCAAGGAAATTTTGCTGTTCATCTTATCCATATCTATAAGTATTTCGCGATTTCTTTACATTTGCTAGCGCCTGGAATCAAAGCACAAACTTCAGTTTACCGGCTACGTGGATCCCTTTGTTTTACTACTTGCGACGTTGGGCAGCGAGTATTGAAATCAAACAAACGCTTTGTGACTTATCAACAAAAAAGCTAGGATCGATCGTGAAGGAAATTAAACACAGCGCCCCTTGTTTTCGTAGCATAAAACAAACATTCTGTAAGGCTTACATAGGATTAAACATATCCGTACCTAATTTTCGCCCTCCGTACGAAGCCGGCAACGCAATGGCATAGCTATGAACATGTTGGGCGGTGACCTAATTATTTTTACCTACCTGTTTTATACAGTTCAGATGGACGAGTTATCCTCCGACATTCTTAAAGAGATTATAGATAGATATTAATTAAAATGTTAAGAGTTGTCTAATTTCAGTATCATTACAGCAAACAAAAATTCTAATTCAAATGACAACAGACAATAATTTATTATTTTCAAGCGGTTCTTCTCTCAAGCGATATTACGAAATAATAGTTTTATTTATTAATGTTTTCATTATTACTCGTTAATATTTTTTTGTTAAAAACTTTATATTCACTATTCACACCTGTTAATTTTAATGTTCCATAACTTTTTTTGTAACCGTCTACATGGTAAAATTCTTATGATTGCCTTTTTATAGTTTTTAATGTAAAGCAAATATCATAATATCCTAGTTGGACGAATATTAATTATGACAAGTTAACTCTGAAATTTGAGTGAATAACCGTGCCCATTTTGCATTAAAGTGGGTTAAGAGCTTAGGCGGTAAATCACTTTTGAGCGACGGTTACTGCGAGTAATGTTTTTCCCTTACACAGGTGAGCAAAATTTTGCTTAACATCAACCGACCAGTTGGCTTTATAGAAAAACTTGACCCTCAGAGTGACACTTTTTCGTAATTATTACCTATCGCATATATTGGCTAAATAAATAGTAGAAAAATAAAATAAATATTTTATGAAATTTAGTTGATATTGATTTTTTTTTTCAGGTCTATTTCGCCATAACCATCATAACTATGGGCCATTTTATAGACGTTGAGCACCGCTACTTAAGCGGCGAAATGACCGAGCCGGAATCAGAAAGCTTTTTGGAACCCGACAAGATCACTCCAAGTAAGTGCATTAATCTTTAACCACTCTGTAATCCCAAATTCTGTTCAGGCTAATAACCTAAAATAACTTGTGGTTCAGAATTCTGAACAACAATTCATTATTCAAACATCGTATTTGACTCCGGCATAGGCTCCTCACGCCTTCGCGGCAGAATAATACTTAATTGCCTGTGGTGCGGACTGACACGTTTCATTAGTCTTAAAGATGACAGTAAGGGTTCCTACCCAATGCCTACGAAGTTACATAGCCATTCAAATGCAGCCATAGTGGTGGGAGTACTCCAATCAATTCTTGAGACATACGGAACAATGTTTTTTTACGGATGTCTTCTACATTTTTCGACATTCTATCCTTTAGGTCCCAGTTCGCAGAAGTATTTTACTTTCAGTTTTTTTTAATCGCTTTCAATTATTCGTTCCTTTTGATAAGGGCTAGGTATCCTGTTGTTCGTGTATATTTGATTAAAAACATCATATAGCTTTTAGCGGTGTAGGGGCTCAGCTGTGTTTCGCATTAGTTTCTTTAAATTTTTATGATATCTCTCTTTCATTAAAATAATTTGGCACTGCAATGTGCAATTTCCTAGACTCGTTTTATCCCACGATAATGAAAAGTATCTGCCGTAAACTATAAACCTCTATATAATAATCTATAACAGGAAGAAAAAAAAGGAATAAAAAGTAATAATTATGTAACAGAAATAATTACTCAAGAAAACCGATATGTTTATGTGATAATTAAAGAGAGTAATTATTAAAAATACTTTTGCACACATATTTCTCAAGGAACTCATATATTTAGTTGCATATAGGGTGAATGAAGAAGACAGTCGTCATTCCGCTTCGTGCTCTCGTACGGAACGGACGTCTCTCTAAGACGGAGGGCACATGCCACCCGAATTAGACGCCACTCGCAACCTCGGTTGCAATTTCAATCTTGTGCAAATAGTGCAGTAGTTTAGTGTTAGTGGAGTGTTGTGCTCGTAGGCAGGTTCCTGTTTTGTAAGTAGAATCCTACACACACTTCTCGCCTCAGAGGCGGCATTGTTTCATTTATTAACTGTGTGCTTGTTACAATAGGCGACAGCTAGGTACCCACCCTAGCGCACCTAAAGCGCTGGCAAATTAGTTGTTATTTTTAGGCACACACCTCCCTGCCGCAAGGTGGGGAGGCTTATTTAGCTCACACACGCCGGCGGGGCTACAAGCCCCAAAGGCACTTACGCCGCGATGGGCTCCCTTTTCGAGGAGTTCGTACGCAAGGAATGCCCCGATATGTGGGAACGTTTTCTTGCCTATGCAGCCGAGCATAGGCAAGTAGCTGAACTCGCGTCGCCGCCATTGCCCGCGCCGTCTGCGCCCGTTACCCCGTCGCCCTCCGCGACCTTAGAAGCCCCCGTCGCGTCGGCATCCGCTAACGCGAACTCGCCCGTAGCGCCTTCCGCGCAACCAAACCCGACCTCTTTTCGCTCCGTCGTACCCGACTCACAATCGGACGGCGGATCGGACATGGAGGTCGAAACGACCCACGCTGAAAACGCGAACGCCGACGGCTTCACCGTCGTTAAATCGCGTAAAAAGGGCAAGAAACGCCCCGCTACCGACAGCGACCCCGATTGCGAGGCCGCCTCAACGATCCGTCCCACCGCGACGCCTGCTAAAAAGGCGGCCGCCGCGGCTAAACCGATGCCCGAATTCGCCTCTGAGCGAAAAATAAAGCCTCCTCCACCCATCATCATTCAGGAGAAGGCTAAGTGGCACCAAATTTGTTCGTGGTTTGAACGCCAAAATATCCGCGACCCCCGGTCGAAAAACACGCATATGGGTATCCGCGTATACCTCGACACTACGGACGACTTCCGCCGCGTAACTAAGTACTTGCGCGAAAACAAGATAGGTTTCCACACCTACTCGTTGCCCGAAGAAAGAAAACTTCGGGTTGTAATCAAGGGCGTCCCGAAAGAATCGGATGTCGATAGGGCTAAGGTCGACATCCGCACTCAGGGATACCCTGTGCACGCCGTGCGTCGCCTCAGACACCCTCGCACCCGTGTCCCTATGGACATGGTCATGGTCGAACTTGACCCTACCCCGGAAGGTAAGGCCATCTTCAACCTGAAGAGGGTCTGTGGGCTCAGTGACTTAGTCATTGAGCCCCCGCGCAAGTCCGGAGTTGTGGCTCAGTGCCACAACTGTCAACATTTTGGCCACACGGCCAACAATTGCTTCGCTCACCCTAGGTGCGTCAAATGCACCGGTGACCATGGCACTACCGAGTGCACGCGGCCGAAAGATTGCGCAGATCCACCGCGTAAACTGTAACGCCACCGGCCACCTACCCGGCTAGCTACAGAGGCTGCGCTAAGGCCCCGAAAACTCCCGCGAGGAAATCTCCCGCGAAATCCACGTTGCCCAAACCCGCGCCCGTTAAATTCATTTCCGCGCCCGTACCCGTCATAAACGCCTGGGCGAAACCCCAGGTGGCCGCGCAGGTAACCGCGCCGGTAATCCCGGTCGCCTCACGACCGATCGCACAACAGCTGCCCGCCTCTCAAACGGCGCCGCGGCCGCAGGTGCAGCCAACTCCGTCAGTTTTCGCGGAAAACAAGGACGACCCATTCGCGCAAATCGCTAATATTTGCAGCTTATTAGATAGGATCAATAGGCAGGAACTCGCCGTATTGTCCGCTAAGATAGCGGCCGCCACATCTGGGGCCACGAGCGTCTTAGGGCAATTAGCCAACATAAAACGCTTGTGGAAGCCCTTTGGGCTTTTACGAGCCAACCGTAAAAAACAATAGTCCGCGCAATAAAACCGCGCTCCGCCGCGTCGTTAATTAGACCCATAAAAACACCTTAATGGGAAGTACAACCGCAGGTAGAACAAAACCTCGGGCTCTGGTTGTTTCGTATTTCAACGCAAACGGCATAAAGGGTCAAAGGGACGAAATCGCGGAATTCCTTCGCGATCATAACGTAGATATTTTTCTAGTACAAGAGACATTCTTAAAACCTAGTGTACGTGATCCCAGAATCGCAAATTACAACATTGTCCGCCACGACCGGTTAGCAAACCGTCTGGGAGGCACATTAATTTATTATAAACGGTCTTTGCACTGTTGCCCGCTCGACATTCCAGAGCTAAGTCAAATAGAGGCATCCGCGTGTAGGTTAGCGCTCACCGGCCACAGGCCGCTTGTACTAGTCTCAGCCTACCTCTCGGGAAATAGAACCTTACCTCAAAGCGACCTAGATACGCTACTTAACTTAGGCCCTTCCGTGATAATTGCAGGAGATCTAAACTGCAAACACGGCTCATGGGACACCAACAGCATCCCAAATAACAACGGAAAGCATCTCTTTAGCTTATCCGATAACCTAAACTTTAGCATAGTCGCTCCCGCGACTCCCACTAGGTATTCTACGGTGGACAACTACCAACACGCGTCACCGACATCATGTTATTCAGGGATGTCTCGCTCGACATCGAGTCGATAGAGACAATCCATGAACTAGACTCAGACCACAGGCCCGTCCTGTGTAAACTGGGCCAGAACGCCGGCGCGGTCCCTCCGACCAAATCCGTAGTGGACTGGCATCGTCTTGAGGTCAAACTCAAGGCCTTGGACCCCCAGGACTTAGTAGACTTACCCGAGACGATAGCTACGTTCGATGACGCAAATCGAGCGATAGCGAGTCTCCGAGAAACTATTACTTCCGCAGTCACAGACCCGGAACGGACGGTGAAACTGTCGCGCGACCGACGGTTTAACTTTCCACCCGACCTAAGACTGCTAATTAGACAGAAAAATGCAGCCAAACGCGCCTTCGACCGATACCGATCGGAATCGAACCGAACTCTACTTCGACGCCTTCAGCTAGAAGTCAAAGATCGTGTATCGGAACACCGACATAAAACGTGGGACACTCTCCTAGAGGACATCGAGCCATCGCACACCGCCTACTGGCGGTTGGCCCGCAGTCTGAAAGCAGACCCCCGCGAATCTCTACCGCCGTTAGTTCGACCAAATAGCGCTTCAGTAGCCCTAGATGACTCCGAAAAAGCCGAATGCCTTGCGGACAACCTAGAGCAGCAATGTACGCCATCGCGCGAACACACCGATACAGTCCACCTAACGGAGGTGGACCGCGTAATCGAGACTAGGGCTGCGCTTCCACCGGAAGGCGAACCTTTAAATTCAGTGACCCCCGAAGAGGTCCAAGATATTATTAAAAATTTAAAACCGAAATCCGCCCCGGGCCCAGATAATATAAGTAATAAAATTCTCAAAGCTCTCCCTGGGCCGCTTATCTGTTTACTGGCGACCATTTTCAACACTCTACTCTCCAGTTGCTCCTTTCCGGACGACTGGAAACAAGCTACAGTTATCGGCATTCGCAAACCGAATAAACCAGCTAATCAGCCCTCTAGCTATCGTCCCATCAGCCTCCTCAGTTGCCTGGGGAAGCTCTACGAGCGGCTCTTGTTAAACAGGCTCAAAGAGCACGTATTTTCCAACGGCCTTCTGCCGACGGAACAATTCGGCTTTCGAGCTAGACACTCTTGTCCCGATCAGTTATACCGCCTAACGGAGCACATCCTAAAAGGCCCAAACCACCCGAAACATATAAGTACAGGGGCTCTTTTCTTCGATGTCGCAAAAGCATTCGACAAAGTCTGGCACAACGGCTTTCTTTACAAGCTGTACACTCTCTAAGTACCAGATAGCCTCGTAAACACCATCCGGGCCTTTTTGTTGAATCGCTCTTTTCGGTATCGAGTCGAGGGCACCCTCTCCACAAGCCGCCGCCTCACGGCCGGCGTACCACAAGGCTCCTGCCTCTCACCTTTGCTCTTTACGCTCTACACGAGCGACATACCCAAAGACCCCCACGTCAATCTCGCGCTTTTCGCGGATGACACCGCGCTCTTTTATTCAGACCGCAACCTTAGAATACTAACCACTAGACTCCAAAGCGCCGCCAACCGCCTCGGCGATTGGTTCCGCAAATGGAGAATAGAAATAAATCCCGAAAAGAGTGTGGCGATTCACTTCACACGAAGTACTTACCCGTCACATCTTTATAATGGCCCTCGCCAATGCAGAAAGTTGGGGCAAATATCCCTTTATGGCCAACCGCTCCCCTGGGAGGAAAAGGTCAAATACTTAGGAGTCACATTCGACTCGCGTATGTCATTTACTACGCACATTAATAACGTTCGTAATAGAGCCGCGTTCGTATCCGGCCGGCTACACAATTTAACTAACGCTAAAAGTAAAATGCCCTTAAGGCACAAATTATTATTATATAAGACCTGTGTACGACCTATTATGTCCTACTCATGCATGATCTTCGCCCACACGCACCCTACTCGCTTGTAAAAGCTGCAAATAGTACAAAATAAGTTCATCCGCTGTGCAACCGGTGCGCAGTGGTACCAACGCAACGTCGATCGGCACAGCGATTGCAGACTCCCGACAATTCGCGAATATTTTAAAGATTTGACAAAACGGTTCTTCGATAGAGCCGAACATCATCCCAACCCTCTGGTGGTAAGCGCAGCAAATTACCAACCCGACACAAACGCGAACGTTAACAAGCGTCGCCCGCGAAACGTCCTCATCGACCCGGTCGAGGAAGGGGACTTAGATACGCCGGACCCACCGCCGGGGGTCCCGCCGGATAACACTACACCCACAGCTAGTGTAACAACAAACACAATAGTTCGCCCTCGCCTCCGAGCACGGCGAGACCAACACAATGCGTACACAAGGTACACCCGCGTTCCAGGGCGGTTCTCACCGCCCCCAGCCACCGATTAGGTAAAAACACAGTCGACGGCCATCGGGGTCTCGGTCCGCACCGCAACTTCGATGGCCCTTAGATGACATGTCGTAGTTAAACGCACGCATGAGCACATGCGCGGCCCTACCCACATCGGAGGGCCCAAACCCGTGGGTTCTGGCTAGCCCACCGGTTCTGCGTCAGATGAAGCTTTAATAGTCTCGGGACTGAAAGCAAAAACATTTCAAAAAAAAAAAAACAAAGAAGGCAGTATTATTTTTATATCGGCAATATATTTAAATGTTTCTTTTTTTTGTATATTTTATGTATGAGAATTATGTATTATATAAAATTTGTTTATGTTTACCTTAATTTAAAAATCTACTTTAAAGCTGGCGTAACGTTAATTATTTATCTTCTATAGGTATCTATTTTCATTTTACGGTTTTTCTTATTAATTTTAAGATATATATTTCGCATTCGCGTTACAAACGATCTATCTTTCGTGAATTTATTCGTGTTAAAACTGCTAACTATGTATAAATGAAACTAATTTTTACGGATTTATCGCGTTTAATTTTAATTTTAATTCCCGAAGTTTCGAACATGGTTCCCTTTACAGCGTGAAGGGTCACGGGACACTTAAAATTAAAAAAAAACAACGTGATAAACCCGTAAAAATTAGTTTAATTTATAATGTGTAATCGCGCAAATACAAGAAATTATCATGCAGTAAGTATGCTTAATAAAGTATCCTTATAAGGAATTAATTCACTACTAAAGGAGTAGTGAAAATTATAAATAATACATGAATAAAGATATGTGTAAATGTATGTTTTATAAACTGTTTTTAAAAAATACAAGACAGTACGTCTGACAATGGCACGAGAACAAGTTCTTTACCCAACAGCGGTCTACGTGCTAATGATCATGACGGTGATGATGCAATTGGTATCATCATTTAGTTCCTATCTATATTCGCAAACATAGTGATCCCTTTACTTTCCGTTTGAATTTATTATTTTTATTGTTTTTTTTTTAGTGTTTTTTTTCTTTTTAAAATGCCTTTAATACAATAGAGCAAAACTGAAACGAAAACATTGTTTGGTTTGAACACCATATTATATCTTTCTCGATGACTGAATGCAGTAGTAGCCATTCGTCTTGGCAAAATTACAAAACAATAAAATCCTTTATTCAGTTTTACTAAACATAAGGAACATAAATCGCATGTTTAACATTTATGATGACTTGCAATTGAGACACTAATAAAAAGCCAATTCATATCATATAGTTAGTATATGATTCAGAGGACAATCTGCTAAAATAAATAACATAAACAAGTAAGTTACACTCAAACACATTGTATTTTATAATTTATATTGTATGTACATACATGTTTATATTTAACAATTGCCTATGCGTGTACAATGAGAGCTTAGCGTTACTACGTAATATATTTTGTGCTATTTGCGTCAAAAATATATTTCAATTCGTTGTACGGTTGGATTGAACATTAGTTCTATAACTATATATTTCATCTATATAGACCCTTCATCGGATCGCTTAGTGTCCAAACTATCTCCTATTGGATGCCGAAGGTGAAAACAAGTAAGTGACCCCATATTCGCACAATGTACGGTATAAAAACACTTTTGATTTAAGTAGTCCAAGTTTTAATGGATGTCATCATCTGTCTTTCATTTATACGAGTATACTGAAGAAACGCAAAACAAATATTACACTTTCTTATCTTCAATATATGTATATACTCCGGTGCAGATGATCGTCCAAGTATAAAAATACATATGCAGCTTGAATCTTATTATTATTTTTGTCCAGTATCTAGTAATTTGTATTAAAGTAGTGTAGTGTTTAAGGGCTAATTAATTTAGAGAATGATCTTATTCTAAGGCGTTTGTTATGCGATACGAATGTAAGTAATCGAAGATTACTTGCTTTAAGACAAATGGAAGCTCTACTCTTCCTCTTCTCCAAATCTAAGCCATCTTTTGATTAAACATTTCCTTTCCTGTGATCTTAACACAAACCAATATGGTTGACTTCTAATGTTAGGGAGGATATAAGTTTCACTTATTATCTATCTCTCGCAAGAAGGGTTTCAGGGTTTTCATGTTATAACGTTCGTCTAAGCGTCGGAGCTCTGGTTTTTTTTTAATGATTGTTACTGTACGAGTACGAAATAGTTATTGTACGAGTTAGTTCTTGACGCTTGGTATTTAAGTTAGTGTTAATGGTGATTCGTTCGCTTCAGTCATTCAATTATACAACAGTACGATTTCACTTTCATATTAATCCTCAGCTACGTACGAGCTGCGTTCTCGCTCTGCGACATGGTTCGAAAAAGTGCAAAGGTGCGTAAAGTTGCACCTCTTTTGGATAAATTGCACAGATAATGTGCCTGAAATAACGAATTACCGTCGTACGGGTAAGTGAAATTAGTTAACTACATTTGCCTTTCACCTGCAGTAGATGACGGAAATTAATATTTTCTATGGTGCGTGCACTTTCTCGTGTGTCATGCATTTATTCTTCTGTATAAAGGCCACCCTTGATGTCCATCATTGACTTCATACTCGCTTGAAACTATAATATAGTATAGCTGAGTTCTAATAGCGGTGTATTTCGGATGGTAATGTTATCTGTAAATAGGTAATATAGGTAACTTATAATTATTTCATAATAGGTAATTTACTAAAAAAAACATTTTTCAATGCATGTGTCGCCCGTGAATCTGATCTGGAGGCAATTTAAAATGAGACGGCATAGCAAATTTTTCTGAATGTACTTGTTCAGAAGTGGCGCTTTTAGTAGTAGTTGGCAATAATCACAAGTGTACATTTTCATGTAGAGGCTGCTACTATTCCAGCTTAACTTAAGTCGGCTTAACTCCAATCACTAGACACCTTTCTAAATAAGAACTTTTGGTTAAAAAGTGGAATATATACTATTCATACATTTGCGTTTCACTTCATTTATGTTTCCTATTGTGTAATTATTACTATAAGTTGGAATGTTTTTCGATGTGTCTTTAGTGTAAAGCTTATTCAGTGGAATTAGTTAGTAGCTGACTGTATTAAATTTATGAGTTTTTGAGACAAATACAAAAAAATATGTGTTACTTTAATGAGTATTCATGTCACTGCGAAATGTTGATCTTACGCTAGAACTTTGGATGTTGATCGAGTGACAGTTTTCGCAGGAATGTTTCTTGAGGTGAGTTTTTTTTTTATTTTCAATTGTTAGCGTTAAAATATACATAAAGTGGTTCAATCCGATCTGCAACTTATTTCTTCAAATTGCATTATACATATTGATGGTCTTAATCATCTCCATTTTATTTAACGCGATATTTTACGTTAATTCTACTACTTTCTATTATAATCTGTAATTGAAAGGACTATTGGTATATCTTGTAGCTCATGTCATTACATTATTTATTTATCTGTATAAAACTTTTTTTGTAGTATATTTTGCTCTCTAATATAGATTTTCTGTTATGGATTATTTAATGTCTACTATATTTATTTTATTATGTGTATTATATCTTACATCATATTATACGTATTCTTGATTGGGTATTCCAGTCTTCGAGTATACACAAGTGTATACAATTCATAAGTAAAGCCACTAAAGTCGCTAATATTATCATACATCTTACATGTATTTATCATAATCACGTAGTGCTTATTTTGCCTTATTTTGGTGTTCAAGCGGTCGGATGTGTAATATTAATAGGTTCCTTGAGAATCAAGCAAAGTAAATATATTAATAATAATAAAAATATGATTAATAATAAAAATCAAATCACAACTCGTTTAGTTATTTAACGAGGTATTCATAAGAAGTTAAAGGGGTATTTATAAGAAATTATCTGTGGTAGGGCCACGCAGCAGCTAGGGCTGTTGCATAAATGGGCAGACTCGTCCGGGGAAATACTACGGCCTCACATAGGACCGGCATGAAGTGGGAGAATGATACTTTCGCGTTTCGTCTGGTGAGTGTGGTAGCCGGGGCCCACTTATTTCAATGGTTGTCAACGCACGTCTGCTCGCTTTACAACTATTCTAAACAAAAATAAACAGATAAAAAAAGTTGAAGACAACCTATTAATCATATTTATTCCATCGTTCACACATTTCGTTTGTTTCAGTAACTGTTTCTCTGAATATCACTCTCTTGGCGTGCAGCACTATGGGACTGGTCTCGTGCGTCATGATGGTCATTGGTGTTTACAAGGTACGTGCAGCTCTTTGATTTTGACGAAAACTCCAAAATGAGGTATATCCATACAACATAGTCCCAAAGACAAGAGTGAACGTTTAAATACTTTCTTGTCAGCGAAATCGTGGAAAAAGAAAGCTCATAGATTATTATTTGAGCTTTTCATTTTCTATAGGAGCGACGCAATGAATTTATGCCAGTTTTCTTAATTAAAATGGTCATATATATACAGATATGAGCCGTTTCGAACTGGTAACGAAGAAACAACGCTTCATGGTGTAACATAAACAACGAGAAAACGGCCCAAATGTAATCAGTGATTCTATTATTATAATGCGTATATTTTCATATGTAGAACGTGAAAATTTATTGTAAGTGTTGCTAACAACTGTATTGTGCCCGTACATTTCGTTGGTAGAATTGAATAATCCGTATTATTATTCGTAATTCTCATTTTCATGTATAGTCAATCATGTACCAATACATTTTCCACAGCGTTTATCATAATCTAAAGATCATTACTATCGCTTTCTATTTGTAAGTGATATTGTTTATATAAAAAAATAGAACTTAAAGGATTTTTTACCTAATACACGGATATAAGACAAAATACTCGAAATACATAAATGGCAAAGGGCAGAAATTTCATTTTGAAAATATGCTGTAAATAATTATTTAAAATACATATGCCAATTTTTCATTCTCACATTTAATCACTTCTCTCATTCTCTCCAATGTCTACTGAGATAGTAGAAGACCGGAGAAAATATCAAGAGTTTACTTTACAGGATATCAAGTACTTGCTGTTGCCATGGATTGTGGCAATGGGTCTAGAGACCCTCGTGGAAGTCATAAATCTGATTTACCTGTTCTACTTACAAACCGTAAGTCTAATTATATTTAAGAATTTTATCAAGTTATTGGTCTTTGTCTACCAACGATAACCAGTCTCAGACGCATGCGGTCTAAAGCCTCTTGTTGAACATTTTCATCTTGATTTAATGTTTTTCGTTTTTCACAGCTCTGGAGTGTCCTTTACTAGTTATTACTACTTACCGTTATTATAATCCGTCATCTACCAGTTATAGTAGGTTTAATTTCAAAATAATGGATAAATATCACGATAAAATGTAACGCTGTCTCAATTCCTACTAATTCATTGCTAAGACTAATGTTTCAAACGTGCCCTGAATAAAATACGCGAAAGTTTCTCCAGCATACTAATGCTACTGATAGAACTTGGTATAATAACTTTTGGCCTCTTTCAAAACGTATGTCGTCCTCAATGGTGGTAAACGCTACAAGTCTCTTCAAAGGCAGAGTCTTTAGCGCATTAAAATTTTAAGGATTCCACAGGTTTGAAATCCAAAATTTCGTTAAAAAAGTTAAGTAAAGTATTTAATGAAAAGGACTAAACAATGAATTGTTTGACTCCGTTCTTGATGTACTCAAGTCTAATGTGATCTTAATTATGAAAATCATTTATTTCATCACTATTTTGATAACAAGAAACAAAGACGGCTGCCTTTTGCGATAAAATAGCTACTGTATTCATAGGATACGGTTTAACGCCAATTGGAAACATGCGTTGTTTCTACAAACACGACCTAATTCTTCGTTTGAATGACAATCTCGCTCCAGTTCTGAAGCATGTCAACTGCTTGAAGAATTGTGAAGAATAATTTTACGTGTTGCTTTTTTTTTATTTAATTATCAAAATCTTTTACATTACATATCCATAATTAATTGAATGAAACGTATTAGTTGTTTTTTTACACTGACATTCAAAGTCCATAAATTGAATTTTCTAAATATATAAAAGTTAAAGGAATCCTTAATATAAAAGATTATTAAAATTAAAGATTGATTACATCCTCCGTCTTTTATTATTTTTATATGAAGTTAAATCATCCCGTAGATTTATGTTTTACAAGTACAAGTAAAGATTACCACGTTCATATCTGATCATAATTAAAGGGAACAGATAGTGTTAATAAATAACATAGCGAATATCCATTTCTCTTCCTTAAATAATGTTACAAATATTTTGTTAACTTCTAGGAAGTTAAAATATGAAATATGTACTAGTAATTGTTAAACATTTGAACATCAGGATACTTACAATGATTGTCTTATACCATAACAATGTGATTACTTGCAAGTGTACAAAAAATGGACGAACAGTTTTAATTACACCGCTCATTGCCATACCGACAAAAATCTCCTAATATTTTATCATTTTAAGGAACGCTTGACCCACTTATTGTTATATCATGTTGGTGTGCTTATTGGTTAAAGCGTTTGAGCACGATTCCCGAGGCCACCAAAACTTTTTCCCCATTTTTTCTACAAATTCCTTTAACTTAAAAATTCTGCTTTGCTAAATAGAAAGCTAAAATAACCTTGCCCTATCCGTACAGAGCTTAAGTGTATTAAAATATCTAAACATAATGTAACAAAAAATATTTTTTGTTTTTGTCATCACATATATATCTGGAAAGTGAACTCTCGTAGTTCGCGAATAAATCTTTCATTCTTATGAGATATTAGTTTAATGAATTTTGTCCCTGGTTTCGTTTCAAAATAGTTTTATTGGATTGCTTTTATATGCCGTAGCACTTATGATTACAGCCCTCAATCAAAACATTTTTAAATTGTAGTCCACTGTATTAATTGACTTTTGTTAGGACGATATTAATCAGAATTTTATGATCAATATGGTCTTAAGAGATTTTTTTAATTCAATTATATCATTTTCAGATAAGGAAAAATTATCAATTTTTAGACACAAAACATTATATGTTTTAAGATAATCGATTTTTGTCGTTCATTATTTTATTTTGATTATTTGGTTTAATTAAGTTTGAAACAGATTGGCGAGTTAGTGATAATTGATTTGTTATTTTGATGGGAGTCAAATTAGCAGACGATTGAATTGACGTTGTTGTACAAAACAAACAATTGTTTCGCAAAACAAACGAATCTAGTGCAATTGATATCGTTTAGAAATGGAATAAAATAATTAGATAAATCAATGCTTCAATAATTATCTAAACAAATAATTATGTAATACGAGCAACAATTTCCACCCTGATAACGCAACTGACTAAACTTCTCAAAAACTCAAAATAATTCATATAATAGTTTGTAAGTTAGTGTTTAACAGCAAACTCCAATTATTATCTCTCCAATTATTAAAATCAAGCTTTTTTATTTCTACTCGTAAATTTCTAGCACTATAATAATATATCAGGTGTGCATTTCATAAATGTATTCATAACGTGTTTTTATTCGCAGCTCAACTTTAATCCCATAACTTCGTTCCTGTTCACACTGGACTTCTTCCTCATCGTGCTGAATGTGAGTTTCAAAAATGTCAAAACAAAATATTGTTGCTATTTTTTATAAGAGAAAAAAATAGCAACAATATTTTGTTAAAGTAAATTACAGTAACCAGTTTTTAAATAAAATCATATAATAAATTAATTGTAATAGGTCATAGCGAGCGCGAATTGGAAACGAAGTCATATTGTTCATTACAGATCTACGCAATGGTTTGCGTGATTTCACAGTTTCAAGAGTACATGCACGGTCGTGGAACTGCCGCCTTTGACTACTCTGACAGGGTGAGTCAGGGACTTTTCTAAAATTGAAATAAAATTATGATTTTGAAATTGAATACACAGAGCAACGGTAGATGCAATGTTAAATAATGAATACATAATTAATGTTATACGTGTAGATAATAAGTTGTTAATGTTATATATGTATAAGTGTAAAGAATATAATTATAATTACATCTAATTAAACATCGTTAAATTATAACATCGAGCTACTGCTATTTAAGATCCAGGAAATTAAGGCAAAAGACCAAAATTAAATATATACCTATGCCCAAGATATTCAGTCAATTGACTACACTTTTTTTTACTTGTTCTTTGATATCCCACTATCATGACGAGGATTAGCTCCCCTTCTTTTTAGAAATAGGGAACACAATTTTAATGTATTTGACTGGTATTGTTTGTGTATGTTCTAATAATTTTGTTTTTTTTTTTGCGTAGTTCACTCGTAATGTTACTACGCGGACCTCCAGAGCGGAGACGCGAGTAACGTAAGCATACCCAACTTAATACTTTTCGATGTTTAAAAAAACTACATCTTTCTGTCAAAATGTATATCCAACGATTACTATTTTGTTCTTGCTAGAGTATTATTTACTATCTCAAAATAAAAATAAACCAAATTTGCGCATAGACAAACTCAAATGTTGGATTTAATTTTGATTGTCTTTCTCTGTGGCCTTCCTCTTCTTTCGCTCTATCCGTGGGTATATTTTACGCAAAAATTTCGATTTTACTCTTTGTTAAATTACTGAATTCTCTGTGAAAGTCTTCGTAAATTAATCCATGCATAAAAATCTTTAGATGCTGTACTTAGTAAGTAGCTCGGTGTGTTAGCGCACAATTTGGGTTGTAAAGGTGTACGATTTTTCGTATACAGTAATGGAATATTTTGGGTCGAATGAAGGTCGACTCATAATCGATGTCTTTAAATTTATGTAGCTTAAGCCGAAAGGGTGTATAAAAATCAAAGAATAAATAAAAAGTTTGGTAGTAAAAAAATTTAGAAGTAAAAATAAATTCATAATGGCAATCGAAAAATGTACCCCCGTACATTCTCCGGTATATTGAATATACATCTTACACATACATACCTTTTCGTTTATTCGGCAAAACCACAACTTGATGCTGTACAATGAAGGTCGGTTGCAGCTCGCCACGGTTCAATACACCGCAACCGCTCAACACACTACCACCACCAGTTCAGCACCCAGTGGCCGTCGTCGATCTGCTGGAAGACCCATGGCAAGCCGCTGCGATCCGGAGGAATTCTCGGAGGCCCCCACAAAGGCTATTAGTGAGTACAAGATAACGTCGAAGCTGAAATACAAAGTCATTGTAATGCCTCGTTCGTTATTTCAAGTACTAATAAACTTTATTATCTGCATTTCAGTTTCTAACAGCGTAAATGTTATGTAGTATTAATGTCAACTAAAGTTAATTCTACAGCTTTCCTAATAATTTAGCTAGTGATTAAATTAGCTAGTGACTGCTTATCGCAGAAACTAATAGAGCATCTTATTCAACAGCTTCCGTACTTTCGAAATCTTCTCGCTCAGCAGTAAAAAAACACGTACAGTTCCCGGATGAACAAAGTTGCATTGAGGAAGCCACAGAAATGCCGTCAAACGAGGAAAAGACTGGTAACTTTATGATAACTTGATTATTTTCATTTGTACATTCATTAGGGCATATAATTATAACAGGTAATATCCAATGCGATATTCAGATTAAATAAATCAAAATACGCAAGCAAGCAAGTATATAATACTTTCAACTCACGATATCTGAAGATAGGTATTGGAAAAGGCTAGTCAAAATTTTGTGGGCCCTCGGAAGGTTAAAAGAACGAAAACATCATCGACGTAGCTGAAGATAAATTTATTACATTTCTTTTATACATCTATAATAATAATAATAAACTTTATTGATAAAATTACAGCCATAAATCATATGCTCCCTGAATCCTGAACTAGGAATTAAACCTGTGCGCGCGCGCGCGCGCGCGCGCGCGTGTGTGTGTGTGTGTGTGTGTGTGTGTGTGTGTGTGTGTGTGTGTGTGTGTGTGTGTGTGTGTGTGTCTGAAGTAGACTATTTACTAACAGCATACAGAAATTTTAACAAACTGAATGCAGTAGATTTTCTGTTTGTTTATAATCTAAAGATAGAAGCCACTTTTTAATTTTTGATTTACATTTGAAATGACATAATGGATAGAAATTCAAGATGTTATTTATTTTATTATATAAATAAGTTGCAAGGTAGTTATGTTGACGTCGTGCGAAAGCGGTTTGAGCTTTGTTAGGCGTGATAACATTAATTGTTGAACGTCTCGCAATTGACATCTCCTTATCATCGTAAGTGATACATAAGTGTAATTGACTAACAATTCTTAGAACGTAAAGTTGTCGAACAGAAAGAATTTGGCTTTCTTTATAAAGGGCTTGAGTAGGGTATCTACATATATGGTTTAAACATCATTGTTTTCAATAATGACCTCTGTGCTCTTTCTAGTTGTATGAGGTAGGAATGCATGTACCTCCCCATACTCTGATGCTGTAGTCTATAATTGACTGTGCAAGTGCATAATACACGGTGCGAAGTGTTTCGAACTCTGCAACATGTCGTAGCTGTTTGAAAATCCAAATAATCTTTCTAATTCGATGAGTAGTAACGTCTATATGATCTCGCCAATCAAGTTGACTGTTCAATATGACACCTAAATATTTAATGTTTGTGGAAAGTTTAAGCAAATTGCATGAACATTGTTGACCTGATAAAAAATTACACGAATGTGCTCTAAGTGATACGTCTTGATGTTGACTCTTGTTAATAGAAAATTGAATGTAGGTTGTTTTTGATATGTTCAGAGTAAGGAGATTAGATTTTAACCAACAATTGACTTGGTGGAGTCCCATTTCGGCCATTTTACATACGTTGTCCCAAGTCTCCCCGTGAAACACTAGAGCTGTATCATCTGCATATGCAAATATTTCGCCATTTTGTAGGTGCAGTTGACACAGATCATTTATGTATATATCAGGAAAAGACTTGGACCAAGTATGCTACCCTGAGGAACACCACACTTGACAACGGCATCTGAACTTATTAACTTTCCGATTTTTACACTCTGAACCCGGTCACAAAGGAAGTCCTTAAAAATTGAATGCATTGCACCACGTATACCTACTCTCTCCAACTTATCAAGTAGGATTGGTATAGACACAGTATCAAAAGCCTTAGTAAGATCTATGAAGACGCCAATACACTTGCGTTTGCTGGTTAGTTTTGTTGTAACGTGGTGGTGTGTACAGCATTTTCTGTACATTTTCTTTAATAATAATCCGTAATTAATTTAAAAGTATTGCATATATTAGTCGTTAATAATAGATTTAAATCCAACTTACATATTAAATAAGTGTTTCGAGTACTATTCAAATATATTATGATATTATGGCTGTCAGCAAATAGGTAAGGAGAGCTTTTGTGTGAATATGTGTGTGCATGTGTAAGAAAGAGTAATACAATTATATTAAACAATAATATAAAGTAAAGAAAAGTACTACAAAAAATTTAAAATGTAAATAGTCTACTTGTTAAAAATCGGTACAGTCATTTTTCCATTTTAAGCATAGCAAGATCGTTCTCGCAGCTTATTCGTTTCATTGTAGATCCATCTTCTTTGCGCAGCAGTATTTTCCCAAAAGAAGTCCAGCAGTACTTGTACCCATGTGAAGTAGCAAACTCTCGAGCCATAAGAAATAAACGTTTACATTTAGTTGTTAGATTTTCGGATACGTATATTGCTGTCTTTGTCCCCTGTATTTGAAGGTGATGACTATTCAGTTTGTCCTCAATATGTTTTTTGTTATAAGATTTTACTGAGTTATGCATCTTTTCCTTAATAATAGCCGATGAGAATTCGACAATTATCGGTTTATTTACGGACTTAGTATTAGTGCGAAAAACATTTTTAATGTCTGAAGGATGTAATTGTACGCTAGTGGTTTTAGCTAAGTTTACAACAATATCTGTAAGATCTTCCTTGTTCTCTGATGGCTTTTTTGGTACGTTTCTTATTTCCAAACTATTAGAGCGAGAAAGACGTTCCAAATAGTCAACTCTGTCTTCTAATAGCTGAATGTACCTTTTATCCTCTTTTCTTTCTAGTTCCAATTGGGATAGCTTTTGTATAACCTCATCATATTTTCCTGACATAAATTCTACGGACTCTTGTAACTTATTGTTTTGAGTTTTGATTTCCGCCAACGATGAGTGAACGGTTGTGAAATATCGGCGTTGTTCTTCTTTTAACTCAGAAAACATGTTCATAAAGTCTTTTTTGAATTCGGTAAACTCTGATTGTTTTAAGTTTTCATCCCTTTTCCTTTTGGGACGGTTTTGGGCAATATGACCTGGCTCTGGTTCGTCTTCAATGCGGGTACATAAATTAGGTTCGGAAACATAATGCAACTGGTCAGAAGTACCTGCCTTAGGCGGCGTACGATCAACGGGCATGTTGATTCAAAAGTACTAGGGTCGCAGGTAAAAATAATAAATCGCAGAAGTAAGGATTGTTCGACGCAAGCTAAAATAACGTATTGTGCCTTATTGATAGAGGTGCGTATGCCGTACGATATATGTGTATTTTTAATTAAGAGAGCTCTAAGCGAACACGTTTATTACTTGAGGGATCTGCAGTAGTTGGATGCAATCGACGAATTCATAGAAGTTTTCTTTCCGTCCAGTTTAGTATGATTCTCCGTAGAATATCTTTGTTGACTCTTTTTAACGCAGATAAGTTCAATTACTTTACAGTTTTGCCGTCTCGTTTTAGAGCGTTATTAATATGACATGCACTCACTCATACCAACGTAGCCGAATGTTTGCAAGTCGATGTCTCCTTGATGTTATGCACTCCTATTATTTGCACTTATTTATTTCCGTCAAAATTTGCAATTTACAATTTAATTGATTAACATCAAAATCACCATAACACGTCTGCACAGTTCTGTGGTCCGAGGGAAGGGGGACATCTGAAAATAGTCTAACCACCATGTACTACTTCAAACAGCGGCTGAATAAACAGACCTAATCACCTACCTAAGCCACCGTTGAACGGAGGGGAATGGTGTGCTAAACGAACTGGCAATTGAACGTGGTCATGATCCGCAGAGGCACGTGTGATCAGCTCGTTGTGGATGGAACTGGAGTCCGAGACGCCCGTGCCGGAGCGCTGACGGCGTCGCAGCGAGCAGTACTACAGGCCGGTGTCGCGCGCGCGCCTAGAGCGCCGCAAGATGTCCGCCGCCGGAGTACCGCCCGCCGACGCTAACACTAAGGATTCCTACGTATAAGTCCCACGGCTGAGGTTGAATGCCTGAATGATATGTCTTCACGTGTGCATGTATGTATATGTATAAATATATATTCATATACCAATATATATTACATGACGTGAATATTACAAGATCTTATATATTGTTATCTATCTTTGTTTTTAATATCTATCCAAAGATCGATTGTAATATCTATAACATCAGTTGATATTTAATCATTATATGTATGTATATCTATGATCATGCATTGAATAAGTATTTATAACATAAAGTTTATGTACATTATGAAATTATTATTTTATATAAAATTTAAGATATCCTTTTGTCATTTATTTCGAAGAGAGCGAGATGTGATCATGCGCGCACAAATGAAAGCAGAAGATCACAAGCGCAATATATGTTATCATTGAATCGAATATTTATAATCATTGTGTTATATGTATTTAAATATAGAATTAATTATTTATTTATTCAAATTTTATAGTAAATTCTTATTTGTACACTTTATATATTTATTCAATATTTCATATATACTATGAACTTTATATATTTGCTGAAAAAACTTAAAAGTATTTTTTGTTTAGATGTATGGTGAAATTGTGTGTTTGCCTCGATTTTCTCGATTTTAGGTAACTTCAAAAGAAAGTTTTCTCACGAAATTGGATTTTGTCCGGGAACAACGTTTACGAAATTTGTCTACATGTTGCACTCCACATTCACTCATCTTAAAATTAATGTTAATACGATTTCTAGCTGCTTTATTATGTACAATTATTTATTAACTGTACCTTCTACATTTATTGTAAATATTGTTATGTACAGTATTATTCTGTTTAATTACTTTGGCTAACCTATTGTATTATATATTTTTTTTGTTATTCGACTACTTAATATTATAGATTTGGTTAGTTAAATAGAATAGATGCCTGTGAAGAAAGCAATTATATAGATTAGTTTATTTTTGCATAGAATCGTAGTTATTTTATGTTTTTAGCAACTTTCTTCATTCAAAGATAATTTATTAGCTTCCTTCAGAAAAGTAGAAGTAGTTGATATAATTATTCAAATGGTATTGTAGATTTTCTAAAAAAATATGAAAAAAAAAAACAAAAAATGTTATTTCATGAATTAGTTTAAAAAAAAGTAGAACATATAAAGTATGCTTATTGCAAATATAATAATCCTTACCATGAGTAACTAAACTCCTCTTTGCTACTTGAGATTACATTAACAGCCTTAGTAAATTTTGCACGTCTTTCTTTCAACTCTTACTTCTTCTTTTCAACTCTTACTGCAAAACATATCTGACGATTTTAATTCAATGCATACATTTTTGACATGATAATTATAGAGATACCAATGAAATCTAACCATATCATTTTTTTTTTATTTGCTTGGGGCAACTTTATAATGTAAAATGCATTCTTACTTAACATATATCGATAATAAGAAAATCTATAGTCTATTAAGTAAAATAAAATATTAAAACAGCGTCATATAATGGCGATTAAATATTCTTTAATCGTAAGTGGATTGGAAAGTACGTCAAGAGCAAGGAATAACGTATGAACTTTGGAACTTTACGAGTATTTTTCCAGAAACAGGGAGCAAAGGAGCTAGTCGTTTGTATTGTAGGAATAGGCGTATCGAGAGGGACCTAATATTGGACCTTATATCGAAGGTAATGGGTTGGGGCCATTGAATTAACTTTTTAAAAAATTGGGCCCAGCGAGGATGATGAAGATTCTCAAGCTAAGCAGGCACTCAAGCATTAATAGTTATTAAAGCTTTTTGATGTATCAATTGTTGAATAACTCTAGTTCTTATTATCTGTCTTTTAAATTCTCTATGTGTTAAGAAAAGTAAAGTAACTATGTTAAAAACAAAAAAAATATGATCTATATATCTATGACCTCAGGCGCGAATAAAGGATTACTGATTAAAATACTAGTCATATGACGGTATAATTATTAAATGGGCGTAAATGTATATGAAAATCATAAATGAAAGTAAACTCCGATTCTGGCACGATTAAAGGACTCCCGATTATTATTCAATTCAATTGTTGATTAAAGTATATAACCAAAATAAAAAGAAAAACATGTATGTAAGCCAAAGATTTAATAATTAAATATATATTTAGACTGCATGAGCAGGTACTAGCGTGTAAGAGAGCATTAAAAAATACAAAAAAAAAAGATTTTATCATTGTTATAACTCTAAAGAGTGTATTTTAGAATAATAACTAAAAATATAATATCTAGGCACGATTAAGGATTATTGATAAATCTAATGTTTGTTAATTATATAATATTTAAATTGAAAAAATAAGTTATATATTAGCCAAAGCTTAAAAAAAATATTTTGCCATTTCTATGTGTTATGTATTCTTAAGTGTATTAAACCTGTAATAGGTGTGTAGAACGTAAGAGAGCATTTTAAAAAATACAAAAAGAAAGATTTAATATTATGTACTCAAACGTATATATTCAAAAATAATTATTTAGAGTTAACTACGATATTTTGAGAATATGTGAAGTCCGCCACTCCTCAGTGTGGTGGAGTATGCCCTGATACCCTCTTCACAGAGGAGGCCCTTGCCCAGCAATGGGACGTTTATACTGTAGGCTGTTACCTTACTTTACGATTCAGGAACGATTAAATATGTTAAGATAATTTTTTAATGCGTGTTTATATTAAAATTATATTTATATGTTAAAATGAAAATATATGTATCAGCCAAAATTTGAATATTTATAAAAAATATATAGTCTGCTAAGAGATGTTTAATTGTTGCTAATGTCATTAGTATACATTGTAGAATATAATATTATTTATACGTAGTTTCTAATCAAAGATTTCATAAATGTGTTAGTCATTAATTAGTTATAACATTGTAGGAATGTTTTTAGAAATCAGTAGAAGTTCTTCGGATATTAAAATTGATATTTATTAAATAGCCAAATTATGTGTTAATAAATTTTATCTTATTCAAGCATATTTGCGTTTCATTTCATGAAATTATCCTCGCGATATTATTGCATATACCCCATACTCTACGTTAGTGAAAATTTTAATTTTGTCCAAATTATACGTATTTATATGTAGTTTCGTATTGTTATACGGAAAATAAACGTATATACATATAATGTGCCCAGCATATAAACAAATTGATTAACAAATATAAATACCGGGTGAGGGTCGAAGTTTATAGTTACTGTACCATTAGTTTAAAGAAAAGATATTTTTTGAGTATTATATTGGGCAATCTTTACACTTAGTGAACAAATACTTCAACAACAGAATAAAAAATGTGTGCGTGTACTAGCGTACACACTATGGTTTGACCGTTGTAATTAGTATTTTTCAAAAAATTTTTGATATAAAAACTTGCAACGTGAACCTTTTTTATTTCAATTAACCTCACGGACCCAAAATATAAAACCGCTTTGAATTTGTACATGGTCCTTCGTTGCCGAATAGTCAGCCAGTGAGTAGAAGGCAGACATTGGACTCGCGCGCGAGTGTTGTGAGTGAAGTTTTTTTGGAAAACCGAACTTGCGGACGTTGGATCGACGTCGCAACCGCAAGTTCCAGGAGCCGATCGAGGTTTCGAAGAGCATCATCGGTCAGCTTCAGATTGTGTCTTCGGTGGAAGGCGCAGTCAGGTCACGGTGGGCGGTGCCTGCCTTTGGAGAAGAGGAAGTCGACAAGGTGTCGTGCTCTGAAGTATTAGAGCTAGCACTGTCATTACTACACAGATTATTATTGAATTTCATTAATTGTAATAGAATTATTACTATCAGCGTAGCGTATAGCGTAAACTATTAAAACCACTAAAGAATAAAGACGACATAAAACCCCCTATTCAACACTAGATGGCGTTAGAGGAACATTTTAAGATAAAAAAAAGATGGCGCGTAACGGAAAAATGTTACACTAAATTTTTTTCCAACCCCCATAAAGAAGTTTCACTTCAAAAATAGGCAAGGTATACATAATAAGGTGAATACATAAGGTGAATCTTCTTATTTAAAAAAAAGGAATAGAAAACATTCAATGCTTTCCTCTTAGCATTCCTGAACCATTCATCTGAAAATTATTAAATTGGCATGCATATTAAATCGGCGGACCGCAAAAGGCAAAGAAAAAAAACAAAGAAAACAACAATGAGGTCCTGTATGTTTATCCTCTATTCTAAAGCTAAAGAATCTGAGTCAAATAGTTTTTTTATTTACGTGCTCAACGAGTGAGACAGAATCGGTCCCAGAGGTATATTCCCGAGGACCACTGGACCTGATAACAATACGCCTCCTAACTGATTTTTCTCTCTTATTATAAGATATGAAGTCGAGCGCGGATCCACGCATCCTATAATATTGGAGCTATTATAGCACTATAGTGTTGTTGGCGTAGTAAACAAATTATTCTTCGGTAAAATTTTAATGCAGCGCCATAAGAAATCACCGCCAAAAACCTCATTCCCAGGACCAGTGAACGCAAATAAAACATGAAAGGCGCACGTTCATACAAGTGATTATTAATAAATAGCACCACAAATAACACTAACAGTGATCAGGCATATATATATATACAAATCAGTAATACACTGAATTATCTTCAAACAAAAATAAACTCATTTGTTAGTTCAACTAAGTCTATATTAATTTGTACAATACGGCAAGCACTGCCATTGATAGTATACATAGTTGACAAGCCTCCTTTATAATGACAGACGCTAGAACAATAAAACATAAATGAATACTTCAGAACACATTTTTACACAACGTTTTCTAGTCCCAAACCAAGCAACGCTTATATTAAGTGTAGGTACTAAATAACTGAAGAACAAATTTAGACGTACTTTTCTTTTGTAAATAAATGCATATTATAAATAT